TTGGGTAGGTCAGGCGTACCCCTAAGTTGGGGCGGTCTGATCCTATGCCATAGGAAAGGGTTTTTTACAGAGGGTTAAAAGAATTGAGAGATTAACGAACTACTTTAAGTTAATGTGGGATTGAGAGAGAGTTGTTGATTATGCATGTTTGATTGAGGAGCACTCGGTTCGGGGCATCTCTTGATAGCTTTAGTTGGTTAGATGCTCGCCGAGTGATGGAGCCATAGATAGACTAGAATGGATGATGGGAAGGGAAGCTTGGGATAAGATAGGTCTGACCTTACTAGGAGTTAGCATTAGTGTTAGTTCACGAACCCACCTTCAAAGAAATGGGTCGTGTAGACTATCGTTAGTTCTAACTGCTAGACTAGAGAGGTCCTAACACAAGCAACCTCCGGGCAACCAACTCGGTGGGGGCCTTCTACCGTCTTAGTCTCTGCCATTGGGACCTCTGGATGGGAGGATGACAGTCTGCTTGCACCCAGAGTCCCTGTAAAGGCAACTGCTACCTCTACTGGTTGTTCCCTTTTGGGTACCGATACTCGGGACAGAAGAGAACAATGTGGTCGGGGTCATCACATTTGAAACACGGGCCGGCTGCCTTATGCTCATCCCAAGTCTTCTCATCAATCCCCATTTGTTCCCAAGGTTTGCCTACAACGATCCCGGGATGGGGTGGATATGGCCGCCAGTTGTTGTTTCCTCTACCTCTACCCCCTGTGGAGAAGGAACCTCTTCCACCTTGCAAGGGACCATTACCCCTACCTCCTGCATAGTAGCTACCTTCGCCAGTACCCCTCTGGGCAACGGGTCCTCTTATTCTACCTCGATCATGACCTCCCCTTCCTCTACCATGGCCTCGTCCTCCCTGACGCTCATCCCAAGTCTTCTCATCAATCCCCATTTGTTCCCAAGGTTTGCCTACAACGATCCCGGGATGGGGTGGATATGGCCGCCAGTTGTTTCCTCGACCTCTACCCCCTGTGGAGTAGAAACCTCTTCCACCTTGCGAGGGACCATTACCCCTACCTCCTGTATAGTAGCTACCTTCGCCAGTACCCCTCTGGGCAACGGGTCCTCTTACTCTACCTCGATCGTGACCTCCCCTTCCTCTACCATGGCCTCGTCCTCCCTGTCGCCCTCCCCCGCGAGCAGCAACAGCCGCATAGTCCCCTCCCAAGGCTAAGTGACTGTTGCTATCTTCGTCTAATCCATAGTCTATTTGGCCGTGGGTTAGTGACTCGACACCTCCTTCCTCAAAGGTGACGAGTAAGTTATCTTTCCCTACTATATTACGGGAGATCGTTCGATCTCTCCACTTCTTTCCCGCCTGCAGGTCCTTCCAATAATGACAATAGTGTGCCTCCTGCGGAAAGCCAACATGGTCCACTGCGATCTTGCTGAACTTCTCGTAGGTCATTCCCTCTTCCTTCGTGCGGGAATATAACTAAGTTTTTAGGGGATCTGGGAGCGCCCTAGCAAAGTTATTCAGAATCTGCGCATGTGTCAGCCACGACTTTTTGATTGTGGCACATGACTTTAGACTATGGTTTGTGACTCCTTCGCCCGTGGGTCGTGATTATCCAACATGACTTTTCATTATGCGACGTGATTTTTGCCCCTAGGATGTGACTGTTCGCCGGGCCTGTTGGACTTGACTACTAAGGTACCCGACTGTGACTTTTCTGAAACTGGCCGACTTGGCTTTTCTTGGCCCAAGCCTCTGACCCTGAAACTCAAATTTGGGTTTTGAATCGTGGAAGGCCTTTCAAACATATTCTATCAATCTTTTTCTCAATCTGCTAATCAACGGCAATTTTTTTATGCCATTCAGCCACATGACAGGATTCACACACTGCCACAGTACGGTCCTGGCGCCATATCCCATTTTCTTTGTACCATAGGGCTGCAGTAGTAGAACATTCTGGAATGTACTCAACAACAAGTTTTTTATGCCATTCAGCCACAGGAGAGGATTCACGTACTGCCACAGTACGGTCCCGACGTCGTGTCCCATTTTCTTTGTGCCATAGGGCTGCAGTAGGAGAACGTTCACGTAGGTACCGTACAGGCCAAAATGGAGATTAGGATAAGACCAGTAGGAATAGGAGGTGTCCCTAGTAGGTAGGGAGTTGTCACGTTGTCGGGTGGCCACAAGCAGTTGGCCACCCGAAAACAAAGGAGTTCGGTCTTTGATCGAGCGCTTGTGCGGGATTCTTCGAGTATTCTTGTCGGGACTGCCGTGGAAAATTAGGAGATCCGAGAGGGACTTATGATTCTTCTCGGTTGCCGGTCGGAACTAACCCTTAAATCTCGATAATCGGACTGCCGTTTTCCCCGCCTCTAGCACTGGCATTTTCCATCCAATTTGAGGCTTTCCTCGAATTAGCTAGGCATGGGGTGAAGACACGCTTCCGAGCCTTCGCGCGACCTTTTCCACGCTGATCAATTGACGACGAAAGAGGCCTCATGCAAGGAAAATGAGCGATAGCGAACTTCATAAACCAAACAGCATCATACACATGAGACCCAATAGTCGTGACCTCGAACCAATAGCAGAATTGCGTCACGAGTTCCACCAAATAAGAGCACAGCAAAAGCTCATAACTGACAATGCTGGAATAGTCTCATCATCATCAACGAAGAACCAATGTCGTTATCCTATCTGGCGCTTGGCGCCCAGACTACAAATGGCAGATCCTATCTAGCCTATCTACAATGTCGCTGATGACGTCAACAGCTCCCCGAAGTACGAGCAGATCTCGGCCAATGTCGTTCACCTCAAGCACCAGGTATGTCTTTCGTATCACTCACAACCTCGATCCCCAACTCACAGATGCCACATGCACCCAAGAACCACCATGTGCCCCATCCAGCATACAGCAGTGCAGCTCGGCTATGGCTGCCTGCTCCTTCCAGCTCGCCCGTGAGCACGTGAGCGCTGGCCAGCGTTACCGCAGCAGCGCTTGCGCAACATGCAGCTAGTGCCCGAATGTCGAATGCGTGGGCAGTAAATGGAAGTGGCCTGCCTGCCTTGCGTGCAGTCTGGCTGCGCTGGGCCCCTGCCCAGAAGCTTCCGGTAGGCCCAGAGAGGCTGAGCCCTAGTCCAAACGAAACAGGCCCTGGGCTTGTGGTGGTTGCCCGTGTCCAACTGCCCACGGCCTGTGTTCGGTCCATGTTGCGAATCTGGCCCAAGGCCTACCTCAGTTACATCGAAAGAGGCAGCCTGGTCCTGGGCGCTCTCAACCAACTGGAGCTGCGCAACTGCCAGAATTTACCCAGTTGCGTGACGACTCCAAAATTAGGCTTGCAGGCCCTGGGCCGAACCTGCCTTTACTTAGGGCGGCCGACCGTTGTAGGGGCCTTACCCTGAAGGATTTTCGAGCCTCGGTCGACCCCACTGCGGGTCCCATTTGGCTTGACCCGCCCACGCTCATGCTCAGGGCGCGGGTCGTTCGTCCCAGGGGCACCCCCACCTAGTGCTTTGAGATGGATGGGGATGGTCCTTTTGCGAGAGGGCTTTACATTGGGGGATGTAGCTCCGCTCTCACGTCAAGATGGTAGCTCTTTGATCACTCGCGGCGTTTTCTTGATTCATTTAAGTCTGACCAGGCAATTGCTCTTTCCAATACTCAGGCAGTCCAGGGAGTTCGTTGAGAGTTTGTCTTCTTACCGTGCGCAGGCCAAGCATCATCCATTGGGCCACGCACCTTTTCACTAGGTCTAGTGGCTCGGGACAGCCCCGACAGCATCCTTGGGGTAAAGCGGCGTCGCCCGGACCCCTAGCCGCTATATTGTTTTTGCTAGAACCACTGGCACTGCATCACCTATCCAAGACCGCCCTTATTCTTTTCAGCGGTCGCATTGCACATGAGAGAGACATTCCATGCAACCTCCACACAAACCAAGTCCATGCATCAACCATCCACCCAAGCGCCCGATCTCAACTCATCCCGCATCCATGGATTAAGCCGGATCCAAGTCCTTTCCTTAACCATTCTCCCACCTTAGTCCTCATCCGCGGGTCCATCCCCGTCCAAATTGTCCCTAGCTACTCACCTGCGCAAGACCACACAAGACAAATGACCAAGTACAATCCCCGTTGGGGTCAACACATCGCCCCCTTCACGCAATCCTAAGTTGTCTTTGCCTTCCATTTCCCCTTATGAGTTCCCTCCCCTTTTACACAGGCAAGCCATGCGATCGCCTCAGTCATGCATTCCGGGAGCATGGTTGAGTCAAACTGACCTCGTCGCAAAAGTATCACTCCTTTTTGCTTTCACAATTGCTCTCAATAGTATCGTATCCTTTCCTTCTTGGTGGCACAAGGGACCGGCAGCCCTTCCCTTGCCCTCGCTCTCCACCAAGTGAGGACCAAGTTCTTTTCCGTTCGTTCCCTGGCAATGTAACAGGTGAGGGTAGAGGTTAGTCACATGCCATGGAGGGGGAAGGGGTGACGGAAAGGTTAAGGGTTAAGGAGTTTTAAAGGAATGGAGGGGGACGGAGGGAGAGGGAGAGGAAGAGAGAGAGAGAGAGAGAGAGAGAGAAAGAGAGAGACAAGAAGTTTCTCATCCTAATCGACCTTGCTCATTGACTTACCTTAACCGATCCTATTCGAAGTCCCGTGCACCCCCCTTGCGCCCCCCCCCCCCCCCTTTTTAAGACTTTCAGGTGGACGGCGTGGGTAATGGAAGAAGAAGAAGGGTCGGGGGTGGTCGACTATGGTGGACGGGCGTGGGTGATGGAGGAAGGAGGAGAGTTGGAGGCGATCGGCTATGGTGGACGGGTGTGGGTGACGGAGGAGGAAGAAGGGTCGGGGAGGATGGACGTGGATGATGGAGGAGGAAGGAGGGTTGAAGGTGGTCGGCTATGGTGGTCGGGTGTGGGTGATGGAGGAAGAAGAAGTGTTGGAGGTGGTTGGCTATGGTGGACGGGTGTGGGCGATGGAGGAAGAAGAAGGGTTGGGGGTGGTCGGCTATGGTGGACGGGTGTGGGTGACGGAGGAGGAAGGAGGGTTGAAGATGGTCGGCTATGGTGGACAGTGTGGGTGATGGAGGAAGAAGAAGTGTTGGAGGTGGTTGGCTATGGTGGACGGTGTGGGCGATGGAGGAAGAAGAAGTGTTGGAGATAGTTGGCTATGGTGGACGGGTGTGGGCGATGGAGGAAGAACAAGGGTTGGAGGTGGTTGGCTATGGTGGACGGGTGCAAGCGATGGAGGAAGAAGGAGGGTTGGGGGTGGTCGGCTATGGTGGACGGGTGTGGGCGATGGAGGAAGGAGAAGGGTTGGGGAGGTCCGGCTATGGTGGACGGGTGTGGGTAACGGAGGAGGAAAAAGGGTTGAAGGTGGTCGGCCATGGTGGACGGGTGTGGGTGATGGAGGAAGGAGAAGGGTTGGGGAGGTCCGACTATGGAGGATGGACGTGGGTGATGGAGGAGGAAGGAGGGTTGAAGGTGGTCGGCTATGGTGGACGGGTGTGGGTGACGGAGGAGGAAGGAGGGTTGAAGGTGGTCGGCTATGGTGGACGGGTTTGGGTGATGGGGGAAGAAGAAGGGTTGGAGGTGGTTGGCTATGGTGGGTGGGTGTGGGTGATGGAGGAAGAAGAAGGGTTGGAGGTGGTCGGCTATGGTGGACTGGTGTGGGTGATGAAGGAAGAAGAAGGGTTGGAGGTGGTTGGCTATGGTGGACGGGTGTGGGTGATGGAGGAAGAAGAAGGGTTGGGGGTGGCTGGCTATGGTGGACGAGTGTTGGTGACTGAGGAGGAAGGAGGGTTGGGGGTGGTCGGCTATGGTGGACGGGTGTGAGTGATGGAGGAGGGAGAAGGGTTGGGGTGGTTTGGCTATGGTGGACGGGTGTGGGTGATGGAGAAAGGAGAAGGGTTGGGGAGGTCCGGCTATGGAGGATGGACATGGGTGACGGAGGAAGGAGGGTTGGAGGTGATCGGCTATGGTGGACGGGTGCGAGTGATGGAGGAGGGAGAAGGGTTGGGGTGGTCCGGCTATGGTGGATGGACGTGAAAGAAGGCCCGTTGGTCGTATCCTAACTCCTAGCCCCATGCCTCCGTTTTCTACTTCGGGTGCCTGGCTGTGCCCCCTATCACTTTCGGAAGTCACCGGTCACAACAAAAATGGGGAAGGGACCGAACTGCAGCCCACACACACACACACACACACGCACATACACCGAATGTCTCCGGGTACAGCCAGGGGTAAAGGTGGACTGCACAAGTTGCCGGGAACTGCAGCATTCACACGTACCCACACCGAATGTTACTGGGTGCAGCAACGGGTAAAGATGGACTGCACAAGTTACCGGGGACTGCATCACTCACACATACACAAACCGAATGTTACAGGGTACAACAAGGGGTAAAGATGGACTGCACAAGTTACCGGGGACTGCAGCACTCACACATACACACACCGAATGTTACTGGGTACA